CGCGGGGGGAGCAAGAGCACGGCAGCGCGTGTCTGGGCCTGGCACAGGTCGCGAGCCCTGGCATCGGCATCACAGCAGCTCGGGGTCGATCCTGAGGCTTGCCCCCTCTTCTGGGGGCACATGCCCAAGATTGTCATCGCCTCGGGCTCGCCAATCTCAGGTACAGGGGTGAGCTCGAGGCTGGTGAATGCTCCTGCTCTTCCCCCCCATCCTGCTCCTCCTCTCCCCTGCGTCCTCCCTACGCCTTCCCGGCGGCGCGCACAAGGGGGTAAGGGGAGGGGGGAAGGCTTCTTAGGAGGCTGCTTCTTAGAAGGCGCCAGCCCTACATCTGTAGACAAGGCCCGCGCCTTCTAGGAAGCAGGGGTGCTTCTTAGAAGCCTTTCCCCCTCCTCTTCTGCGCGTTGCCGACCCTCCTCTCAGTCATCCAGCCTCCCCCTCCGTGGCACACCTCCTCGTTGCCCCTCCGTTGTTGGCGGCGGCGTCGGCGCGATGGCGTGCGTGGGTGCCTTTGCCCTCGTCGTAAGGCAGCTGTTTTTGTTGGCACGACGAGGGTCTCACCTGGTTGGCGGAGTGTCCACAGATGTGGTGAATGGCGCTCGGCACGGTAGGGGGAAACAATTAGTGGACACTCCCCCGCTCCCCCAGACTCAAAGTTGGCACACGCGGGGGAGACTGCGGTCGAAGTGGAGCTCATCAGACCCACCGCCAACTTGGATCATTCTGGGGAGGGGGAGGCGTTGACCGATGAATGTGGCATGTGTGTTCGCTATTTTTTTCCGAGGCCTGCATGTCGTTCTGCTGCTTGGTGGAAAAGTCGGTGAGAACGACTGCCTTGTGCTGAGGCTCTCGAGCGAGCGATCCGCGTGGTCGAAACGAGTGCCGTCAACCTGTGGCCCGCGATGGTAACGTACAGCGTGGGTACGCCAACGTTCGGCGGCAAAATCCGAGCCCTCCCTTCGCCGATCATCGATTTCGGTAACTCTATGGGCGGCGGAGGTAGTGTTTTGATTTTGGCGAGCATGTGGCCAAATCCGAACCCTACCCCCGCCTCCCATCGATTCAGGAGAATCGATGGTTGGTAGGGGGAGGGGCCGGATGTCGCCACCTCAAGTAACATTGATCCTTCTGCTCACTGGGGTGAACAAGGCAGTTTTCGATTCTCACGACGGTTGCCCATGACGACGAGCTACAGATGGCGGCAACGAGTACGTATTCTGAAGTTGGCCAGGGAATCGCGGGATCGGGTCAGCGCTCCGCAGGAGTTTTGGGACCAGTTTGGTGGCCGTGCCTATGTCGAATGATGATGAGGCGGGCGTCGCTATAGTTAATCATCAATCACGGCGCTGCCTCGCGCAAGAATGCTGTCCTGTGGTTCCCCGCCTAAGCTAGCTATATTTCCGACTGCGGTTGGCATGGATGCAGCGTTCCATACAAAACCGGTACCGCAAAGCGGATTCGAAGCATTGATGTCGAATGTTTTTTGAGTAGGGTGTGCCATGGCAGTTGTGTGTATCTATGTGATGACAATTCCCGAATTTGATTGCAAGTCCATACTGAGAGTTTTGCGTCGTTGGAGAAGTGTGCATTG